TCCACTGGGTTAGCACAGACCAAAAGGCCTGATCCTGCAGTGCTTTACTTCTGAGAGTAATCCTAGCTCGTGCAAAATCGTCCATTCATATAATTTGTTCTATAAAAATTGCTGGTTAGATGTGTGCATTCAAGACCAGTCTAATTTTCTCTCAAGGTTTTGAAGGTAATTTTTGTCATTTGCATGGATAAAGCAGGAATCTGGAAAACATAGAAATCTAAAATTCAAATGGAAATCATTTATGTAAAATACATTACAAAATCTAGGTGCCTTTGCATGTGGATGATATCCTTAGGGTTGAGTTTTCTCCAATGCACTGCTTCAAAGTCTGATGCGTTTGTAATGGCAGTGTGTTAAGTTTAAGTTAAAGTTTATCAAAATTCAGAACCTACTTGAGAGAGAAGGGAGAGATGTGAGTGAGGATGACCCTCCAGAATGACTTTGTCCTTATGTCGTAGCAAACATGGCTTCAAACCCTCCACGGGAGTGGGCTTGCAGAGACCAACACGGCATTGCTTTCAGAAAGCTTTGATTTCCACTGGCAATACTTAGCTCAATGCCAGTTCTCATTCATGTCAAGTTCAAGCATCTCTCACTGAATCTGCATCTTAATTCCTTAATGTGATCTCAGGTTTGGGAACTACCAGATTCACCAGCCAGCTGTAAAAGGCATGCCTGAATTATTAGACTTCCATTGTCGGTTAAATCTTATCCTTTGTATTTTAAGTCACCCATTTGCATTCATCTAAAACGCTTTCAGAGAGTTTATCAGAAGAAGTGAAATAAGAAATGAAATAGTTTCACGTAAACTGCATTTTTTAATGTTTGACTGGTAAAACCACAAAGCAGAGATAAAATACATAAAACTAAGGCTCTGCATAATAAGCATATCTATTAGTTTCCCTTATCTTTATAAAGCTCCCGTTTGTCATGAGAAGCATTGTGTGTCACTCATCTTGCCTTGTTCTACAAAAGCTCTTTTCTCGCTTTCCTTTTATCTCCCATCGGCATTTGTAAGGTAGGAAACTTCGCTGGTGTGGTGCTGCAAAACACCCCGTTGACTAAATAATTGTTTGACCTTCAACCCTTAATAGCAGAAGGAGATAAAAAATTAATACCTGTGTGCACTTAGATAAAAGTGTTACTGGCACTCTGCTGGTTGCAGCTTTTGCAATCATGGCAGCCCAGGATTAAGGGGAAAGTGTTGGGTCACGCCATTCCCAGGGGAAGTCACCTCCAAGCAAGGGCAGATGCCCACTGGTGTAGCCCATGGAGAGCCATGGAGTAGGGAAGCTGCTGGCCGTAGCGTGTGGCTGTGGAGATGCTGGAGCACTGGTGCAGAAATCTGCCCGCTGCTCTCGGGAGCAATCGCCTGTGATGTCTCAGGGAACCTGTGCCCCCCTGCCCGAAACACCCGTGTCAGGAGTGGCGGCTCGGAGGACAGCGAATGTCTCCACTGGTAGATTTTTGCCGGTAGCTGATGGTACCCGCAAAACCAAGGGCTCATTGAATGTAGTTACCCACCTCCTGCGCCGGAGTCGGTGGCCTCAGTGCGGTCGTGTCCTCTTCCAAACAGGATCCCCTTCTTCTCTTGGGGCGCAAGATCTTCACTTGTTCTTATCTTCTCTCTTCTGAAAAGATCTGCAAGATCTTCACTTGTTCTTATCTTCTCTTTCTGAAAAGAAATGTTAGTAGTGCATATCCAACTCGTCAGTGGTTCCGAAATTCAGAAAATGCTGTGTGTCGGTACCAAATACTTCTACTGAGGACCCATTTGAAAACTTGCTACGTAGTGCTCTTGCTCAAAATGCATCCTTACTTCTGCTTTTCTAGGATTTTCAATTGTTGTCACACACAGTGTGTCTAGAACATATGTGTTTATGAGCATGGTGATATAAAGTTATTTCACTTAACTGACAAGTTCATCAGAATTCCTATGGGGAGCTGTTGTTTTCCATGCTGAAGAAGTGGGATTTGGGTGCTATGTCTGTCTATGGAACATAAACAATTAATTATGCGTGTCATGCTGGCAATGTTGTGGCATCAGCTTTTTTTTTTTCCTTTTTTTTTTTTTTTTAATTTTTTTTGCCCTATGGTCCAAATTTGTGATTTCTGTGTAAAGGTTTTTATTTTCTCTAGGGAAGTGAATCAAGAGTTAGTTGTAAAACATTACTGTGCATTTTTCACCATATGTCTACTTGAACAGACTTCCTGCGAGTTCAAGTCGTTTGAGAGAACTGCTGAACAAAACACCGCTTTGAAGTACTGATACATCTTCTGTATTTCTGATAGAACTCTTCACTGACATAGATCTTTTCTAACCTTTTAGAAATGTAGATCTCATTCAGTAATACTACTTAGTAGGTATTCAGTGCCTGTCAGGTTTAGTTGCATATCTTGTGTGTGTATATATATACTATATATATATAGTAGTTCTTATTAAACACATGTTACAGAGCCACATCCTTTTCGGACTAAACCGTAAGGGCTGCAGACGTTATTTAAGCAAGCTTTCTTCCCAAGTATTAGCAGAGAGATGTGTGGTCTGTATACAGAGCTAGGAGCCAGGCAGTCCCTAGGTGTAATGTCATTTGTCGAGTATGCAGTCCACAGCATCTTCCTGGCCTTTTGAGGTGTTGGTACCTGCAGCTCCTGTAAGAATTGCAGGAGCTTTTCATAAAATAGAAATAATAATTACCTAACTTAGCAAGGATAAAAGCTGGTAGTAAGTTACAAACACTTTGAATATAAGGAGGGTATATTCCCGTTTATCCTTCAGGCTTAAATGTTATATTTTATATATTTCGCTTCTAGCTGTTAAATTTATTACATAAATATTTAAGTCTGTGTTATTTATATCAATGCAATACGCTTGACCTCGATTGAGTTACGGCTGATTTATGCGAACATAACTGAAAGGAGGATCAGTTCCAAGGAAGCAAATGCATTGCAAACTGTCTTCTCTTTTAAATGTTCTTATAAGATAAATAGTCATAGTGCTTATGTGCATAGAAATAAAAGTATATACTTGTAGTGTAACAGTATTCAGCTGCAAGGTACAAGGTGAGGAATAACCAGCCAGGTAGTAACTCTGCAGCGGAGAGCAGCAGGCAGCAACACTACCCAACTGTGAAAAATAAACATCGTGTTTCACAGCAGCCCTATGAAATAAATTCAGAAAAATAATCCTCCAGCAAGGAGGCCTTCCGTAGAACACCACGCTCGCTTTGGAGCATCGCATCTCGGTGAAGCAGCGGGTCAACAGCAGAGTCCAGGTCAGGGGGAGGCAGAGGGGCCTGAGGTCTTCCCAGTGGCTGAAGTTGGGAGAAATTACCCCATTATCTGTCAAAGACCAAGGGGCAACGTGGTACCATGCCAAGCTTTAAAAGTTCTCCGAAAGACAGTGACTATTTAAATATATTAAAGAAGGTAGTAAAGGGGGTGGTGGCCGCCTACGCTCCGTGCCAGCAGGAGAGGACAGTTAGCGGTTTCCTTCAGGTACAGACCGAACGTTTTGGAGACCTGAGCACTCTGCAAGAGTTCGGTTAGGAGGGTGTGAAACCTCCCTCAGAGGGTGGGTTTGGGACATGGGTCGGCGGGGTGATCTGTCAGAAGTAGTTCTGGTGTGAATGGCTTATTTGGGGCAGGGGTTTAGACAAGGTGACCCCTTGGGCTCCCTCCCAGCCTTAAATGATGTAACTTGGCCCAGCGTATCTTTTCACCAGATGAGATGGGCTATGTCCCAGTGTCCTGACTTTGGCAAAATTTCTGACGACATCAGTGTTGTTTCCTTCTGATAATGCATAAACAGAAACCGAGAAAGCACTTTAGTTTCTGCTTGTCTGCATCTGTATGGAGACACATCCGTGCACAGCATGTTTTTTATGTTTTCTTTAAGGCATTTTATTGCTTCCAGTGGTAGTCTTAATCACTGTAATAGCCACTGTTATATAGATATAACTAGCAAGTCTGGAGACATTCATATTTTTCTAAATATGCGAATTTGGAAATACCTGGGCAGAGTCAGCATTTTACTCTGCCATTATACTTATTCATGGAGTTTTTCCATCAGAAATTCAGACTGATTACCACTGAATAGGAGGAGAAGAGGAAATAGTGTTCTGAAGAAATCATCCTCAATGTGTAATGATTTTCCCATCTGTATGGATTTACTGTATATTTAATTTTTGAAGAGGATCTGCAGAGACTTTGCTCCCTCTTCAGCTCCCTCACACCTGTACTGTGCTGTCTCTGTGCCTTTTAACTGTGTCTAATCCTCTTAAGTCACGAGAATTGTTCTAGTTTATCTATTAAGTGTGTCCTCTGAAAAGATTAATTTAAAAAAAAAAAAAGGCAAAAAAAAGGCTTTTCTACCCCTGTATATTTGCAGAGTATGTTTTTAAATCCTTGTGGTTTCTTTGAATACTCATGGCAGTACCTGTTCTCTGACTTGCATATGTACTATTTTTTCATAATAAGCATAGCTGAATGTCACGAGCATGCAAATCATTGTGTATTCTCTGCAAAGTTATTTCAACAAATTGTAGAGAATTCAAGTATAGTAAAAACAAAAACATCCCACCTTCCTCAAATTTTTTTAAAAAGTAAGATTTTTTTTTTTTACTAACCTGTATTATTATAGCTCCTCTTCTACACCTTACAGTAGACCTACATTTAAATTTATACTAGCATTATTTCAATCCAAATCTAATCTTCAGTCTTTAAATAAGCAAACAGAAGGTGTACCGTAAGTAGAAACTGTGTTGTTAAGGACACTGAAAGTTTCTAGCATTGAGCCTCCGAAGAGGCTGCTGATGTATCAGGTAGCTGATGTGTGTTGGACCTCATGGTGGTCTGCAGTGCAAAAGTCTCGGCTCACGCATCTTCAGTTGCAAACTCATTAAAAATTGCTTTTAAATGTTTACTTAATGTTTGAAAAACTACAACCTTCTTCCCAGTCATCTTATTTGTAATAGTGTCTCATGTGTTGTGTCTCCTAGCTCTACATACAAACTACCACACTTACAATATCCATGAACTTAAGTGCTTCAGTGGCCCTGGGGATGCTTTACATGCCGAAGGTGTACATCATCATCTTCCACCCTGAGCTAAATGTCCAGAAACGGAAACGCAGCTTCAAGGCTGTGGTCACAGCAGCGACCATGTCGTCACGGCTCTCGCACAAACCCAGCGACAGACCCAACGGCGAAGCCAAAACGGAGCTGTGCGAGAACGTAGACCCAAACAGTAAGTACTGCTGATCTTCTGGTCGTTGGCTGCCGGGGCGGGTTGGAGACATTGACCGATATCTGAGGTTCAGGGTCTTCATATTATTTGGTCTTCTCAGTTAAAGATTTTTGATGTCTCGCATTATATATATATATATATTTAATTCTCTATTTCCTCCTCACTTTTTTGAGTTGTACCAGTTGGCAGCAACTCCTCGCAAAATATTTGGTAACTGCGAGTAACTCCTCCTCCTTTCTCTCCTCTGTGAGTGAAAGATCAGCAGCATCCTTGAGTACCAGACCCTTCAGCCTCTGTCAAACTCAGACCTTCCTAACCCTGGCAGGTACAGTTTCCAGGGTGGATGGAGGAACAAATATCAAACTCATTGATAACTCTGCTAACCTGGGTTATAATTTTGTTTCTTGCAAAGTTTCTTTGCAAAAATCTCACAGTCCTTGAAGATTCCCATTTGAGGATTTTATCCAGTCCTGTTGTAAATCTTGCCACTGATTTAAAGGGAAAATAGATCAAAAAGATACTTCCAGTTTCCTTAATGTGCATAGCATGGTATATTGTAGCACAAAATTACATACTGGGGCCATCAAATTTGATTTGCATTTGAATCTGGAAGGAGTTGAGGAAGGAGACAGCTGCACAACTTTGTAGCATATTGGAAAGGTTTAGGCATGTCTGCAGTTTTTATGAAAACAGATCTGAATGTGGAGAAATGCCCTTTCCTTGCCCATGATCCGTTCATCCATTTGCTGCTGAAATCCCTGCCACTTCTCGTCTATTAACTGCCGTCTGAATATTTGCCTCAAAGCAGAAACTCTGCTGTCAAAGCAAAGTGGAAACAGCCAGCAAATTATTGACACAGCACTTTTCCTCCCTTGATTCACCTCTTGAGTATTTTTCTCTGATGTCTTATCATGCAGGTATACAAAATATATTCTAACTGGAAAAACAAATCTTGTCTTCGGAAACTGAACTATCTGAACTATGATTCTGACATAAGACAGTCAGGAAATGCTTCTCGTAAATGAAGGACTGTATGATGCCTCCTTCAGTCGTACCGAACAGAGCCCTCACTCCAAGAGGAAATAAATAAATTTCCTGCATTGGGGTATTACCCAGCAAGAGTGAGAGTTGCAGAGTCCTCTGCCACGTCCAATTTCTGTTAGGTAATACAGGCCACGGTGAGGGAACCCCTTCCATCGCCTCTGGTCTCTAAACAAACCTTCCCCTCGCTGGGATGCTGCTGGTCCTGCTGCTAGGGAGGTCCAACCCTCCGGTGTGCGGGCTCCGACCGCTCCTCGAGGTGTTTGGGGAGGACTGCTACCGGAGACGGCAGGTCGGAAAAGGCCTTTGAGGGTGGGGGGAGAGAAAGGAGGAGGAAGGAAGGGGATTTTGAAAGACAGCTGGGAAAGGGCAGGGGAGTGTGTGTTGCTGAACTGCATCTCACTAATTGCAGTTCTGGTCAAATGAGTTGGAATTAGTTTCTCCTCCAGCAAAAATCAAAATCTAAAAATTTCCACTCATAGACTTGAATAACAAGAAAAATATAGAAGTTCTGACAATGAAATGATCAATATAGAAACAGAGGTAGACCCCCGTGAGAACCACAGCTCGGGGGGTTCCTACTCTGGGTTTCCCCTCCCGGTATCCTTCTCCTGTGCTGCATCTTGTTGCTGTTTTCAGACTTCTGAGAATATTTCCCCACCACCACCAAAGAACAGGCAGATTTTTCCCTGGGAAGGAGATATGTAAACAAATATTGCCCACTTAAATCCCCATGTCTCTGGTAAAAAGCAACATTTTTTCATCCAGGACTAGATACTAGAACATGTCTTTTTAAGAGGCAGGAGAAGAAGTAAGGGGCAGAATCCCCTCACTTGCCGAGATGTACCACTTTCTGCCTTAAGCATCCAGTCTTCAGTCCCGGTTGCATTGACACCGGTTTAAAGCTGGGGTAAAGTCCACTGGGAGCAAAACCCTCACAACTTCAAAATTAGTGTGCGTGAAGGGAGAAGGCTCTCTGAGAACTCATTTGCTTCCATGTAGAATCCTAAAGCGCATAAATTTGTTTGTTCAACCTAGCCAGCCAGGAAACGTGCAATAGTATTAATTTATATGTCTTTCCCCAAGTACTGGGCTTTTGAATTTTTTATGACTTGGAAAATAAATTTTCTTTTAAATCTTTTAATTATTTATCTATATAGTACCATCTGTTCATATTATCAGCTGCACCTACTACCACTATTTCATTCCCTGGATATGTGTGTTAATGAAAATTACCAGAAAATCAAATTACATAAACTACTGCTGTACTTAAAGTATTTGGGTACATTTAGTCCCAGCGTAGGCTACTACTACAGTTAATGGGAGCTTTCCTGTATTATTCAACAGGTTGTCAATCAACCTCCTAATCAGGCAACATTCAGCATGTTTGTCTATACAAGTAAATACCTGAACTGAATTTCATTATTTTTTTTAATTTGAATATTTTGTTTAAAAAAACGTTTACAGTTCCATTTTTAGGTGGAAAAATTGACAACCATATTAATGAGCTCAAAAAACTCAAACAAGCAAAACTCCCCAAACTTCATTTTCAGTGAAATTTTGAATATGGTGTCCATAAATAAAGAAGGACTTGATGTTTTCATGGCAATTTAACTTCAAAAAATATTTTATGCAGCGTATGGGGAAATTTTCAGAATTTTATCAATTGGAAAATAGGAAATGCAAACAAAAAATTGCCCCAGATGCTTGCATCAGTGCTAAGAGCATTTTAAAAAAATCTCAAGTATCTTCTTTCAAAACCAAACACAAAGAATGTATTTTCAGTATCTCTTTCAAATTGGTTTTGATCCACTAAGGATGGCTAACGATAGCCCCCACAGCAGAGGGGAGGTGGCCACCCTGTTGTGCCCTGCGACTCTGAGGAGCGGAGGGGTGGGGGGTCTGGCTCTTCCTCCTGGGCCAGGCTCCCCCGGAGCTCGCGGAGCCAGGCTGGAGGTACCTTAATGGAAGGGGATTAGAGGATGAGTCTGAGACTCAACAGCGCAGTGCAAAGCTAACTTAGATGCCGATCTGATTTAGCTGCCAAGTATTTTGTCCTAAGTGGAAAAGTACAGTTGGGTTTTCCAGTTTGATTTTCTATTTTATTTCCTGGTGATGCTGCTCTTCGTGGCTTGCTCAGGTACTGGAGACTGGAGTTGCCATTTCTATTAAAAATACACAAATATTTCATATCTCCTCAGAACCAATTAACACTGAGCCACCGGCATGGGATTCATGTACCTCCAAACATTGGAGAATTTGGTGACTAAGCCCAAATTTATGACCTGTCCTACTTATATGCCAGAGTTAAAACCAAAAGCAAAATGGGGATGGTTTTACAGAAAAATAGCCTTGAAAAAAATCTCCATGATTTAGGAGACTTTTAAAAGAATGCCTGATGAACTGAAGATGTGCATGTGAAACTGGGAGACCTATAAATTACCTGAGTGGCTGCCTAAGAGGAGGTGGTCCTCAGCAGCGGTGCTGAGCATCATGCGGAAACATTGCACACAACTCTTGAGCAATCTGCAGGAATCTGAGCTCAGAAAAAATGTGCAGAGCACTTAGGAGAGCTGGACTAAAGCACTGGGGCTTTAGTGTGAGTATAAAAGAAGAAACTGCATTAACGTGGGAGGAAAATCACTTGAAATGCATTGACCTTCTATCCCACCCGTCAGGAGGAACAGGGACTCACTGTGTGGCAGCTTTTTGTTAGGATATATGGGAAGCAAGAAGTTTCACAAGCTGAGCTCCCCGGCCATGTCCTGGGAGGGCTTTCATGCCAAATAGGATGTATTAAGGCCAAGTTTTTCAATCTAAAACTGCACTACTTATGAAAACTCCCCTAATCATTCCAGTTTGCCATCTGGCATGTGCATGCTTTCGCTCATTCAACGGCTTTTTCCCGCTAATACATGTTTGCAGCAGATTCAGATGAGCAGAATTTGGTGCACAGCAGCTTCCATCCGTGTAATGAGTTCATTCTGCTCTCATGTGTCTTTGGTCGAATTTCACACTATTTGGGAAGATGCTTCTCATCAAGTCTGAAGTTGAACAGATAGTGAGTGCTTCTGCTCGGTCATCTGCTTCTGTTTCTGCTGCAAGAGCAGAGTGTCACACTGTAAGAAAAACATTTGAACCTCCAACCCGTACTTAACTTATATTGTGATTTACGTGTAATTACTCCTTTTCCCTAGCAACTTGTTTTAATTCATGGCTTTACCAGACAGAGGGACAGGGAATCAGCATCTCGGTTGTTTGGTAATGTGGAGGTTGTACTTCTCGCAGGCTGGACCAGCAGACCTTAGTGGAAGGGTGTTTGCCCTCATGGATTTCCCTCTTGAAGCAGCTGTGAGAAGGAAACCGAGCTGCCCAGGGCCTCCTGGGAGTGACTCCTCTGCGAAGAAGGTTTCTTGCAGGAGTAGGGATAAGGTCTTTCGGCACTTGGCAGCACAGAGGGTGTTGGTCTTCGATGTCCCCATTTCCAATCTCATGGGAAAAATCTCACCGTTTATGAGAACGGCTCTGAGATTGAGATGAGTAGTGCAGAGTAGCCCAGTAGTAGATAGATCGTCGTGAGCAGGAGGCACACAGCATCTCTGTGGCAAAGACTGGGTGCATCAACGTGACAAACAACTGTTGGAAGGATGGAGCAGCTCATGGGAGGAGACCGCTTTCCCCGAGGAGTTCAGTTGAGATTTGTTGAGAGGTGGCAAAGGAAAGGTGTCACCATAAACTAGCCAGAAAAAGTTAAGGTCTAAAACCTTATTTTTCAGTCTAATTTTCAGTAGTGTTATAATTTTGTGGACTTTTAAATTAGCAGATGCTTTGAGGGCTCAGTACCTGTACAGACGTATTCAAGAGGATTTTTCCTCTTTCTCCTTTATTTAGCATTAAATAGAACTTACTTGGCAGTTGATTCAGTTTTCAGTAGTGAAGTGCGATTGTTTCCCATTGTCCCTAAACAGACCAGGCACCATTTTCATGTTTGTATTTTAAAACAGTGCTTTCCTGTGTGCTGCCAGACAGCGAGAGCAGTGCGTGTCCATCCTCGCTTTTCTCCATGCGTTGAGAAAGGACATTGGCTTTGTGGGTTCCCATCAGCAAACTGTGGATAGTGTCTGTGGAACACAAGCACCTCCTCTCTCGGACAGACAGGCACACACCACTGTGCAAATGCTCCTGTGCCATGCCCTGGTGTGTATTTGTGTATTCATTCCTGTTCATCCTTAACATCCCTGACATGACGTCGCCTATTTTCCATCTTGCAGAGGAAAAAACCTAAAATGTCGATGATGCTGAGGAACTTGAGGGTGACTGCGTGGGTGAGGAAGGACGGGGGAGTCTTAAACTAAAACCAAAATATTCCAGAGTACGTTCATGGGAGAGGAAGGGGAAAAAAAAATAATCAACCAGACCTGCTCTTTTCTGAGCAGCTGCTCCCATGTTCAGAGGTACCTGAACTTCTGTGAACCGGTTCCTTTATTTCTAACCCAGAGTTAATTTCCTATACTGGCGCCTCTCAGCTTTCCACTATCGCTGCTCTAATCTGAGCCTTTCAGTTGGATTCGTGTCATGGCCTCCATGACAGGGCAAACTTTGAAGAGTTTATTGTGAACAGATGTATTATACATACCAATGTATTTACTTTTCCTGTAGACTGCATACCACCAGTAAGAAAGA